TACCGTTTATTATAACAAAATGTATACAATAGATGTTGATAGAGCTAGCTAAATTTATGGAAACAAAGGTAAAATTATTAAATTTATTTACTTTTTATAAAATTATCTTTATAATAGGAAGGTTCTATGGTGATAATTTAGGTTCTTATCCAAGAAAGCTATTAAAGGTCGATTTAAAAACTAAATAGGTTAACAGCAAAATAGTAATTCAAAACTTTCAAAGTGGCAATTATACAAAATAACCTATATATGTGCAATATTTTGATGAAGAGAATAAAATATTAAATTTTAACATTGCAGAATCGCCTAATTAGCTTTCTCCAAGCATAAAATAAGAGATACAAAATTATTAAATATCAATAGCAAATTCTACTGATATTAAAGGCTTAACTATAATTTTAGGATAGTAGTTAGAATATATAAAGAAAATCAATTTATTTTAACTAAATATAACAGCAGGAAATTATTATAAAACTGATTTCTAATTGGTTTTATATTCAGAATTTGTTGGCATGTAGTTTACTTTAGATGTCATCCTCAATTTTAGAAAATGTCAAATCGGAGAAATTTTATATCCAAAGCAAGGATATATCTCGTAATTTTATTTATTTATTTTATTACTAACTAATAATTTTAAAAAAATAAAAGCTGCGATTAATGTATATAAGGCACTTATTCTCTAGTTAATCCTTACTAAGGGTAAAACAATAATCCTGTTTAGTGCTAAAGATGTCCTTCAAATAAAGCAAAATTATGTTATTCTAACAGGATAATTTTGTAAGACAATTATTGGAGAGAGTCAAATTAAACGGATATTATTTATTCTTGCAATATGATAGGATGTAGTGAAACATCTTATAATTAAATAAATGGCTGTATAAAAGGATATGTAGGTCCACTATGCAATACTTGTGATTTTAAAGGAAAAATATGGTAAAATAGCTATGCTTAAAAAGGTAAAGAATGTATTGAATGTAAAAAAGTAGTAGATTTATATATTTATTTTATTTTGCTAATATTTTTATACTCATTATATATTGTAAAAAGCGTAAATAAGTAGATAGATACAAATATACTAATAATCAAAATAGATTATTTACGAAAATTGCATATGTTATTTTTAAGTAGATCAAAATATATTGGCTCAGATACAGGAATTACTCTAAAGATATTTTTTAATTACTTATAAATACTATCATCATCAATTGATGTATATAATTAAATTCCTAACATAATTGGAACTACTTTTAAAATAGCTGGGGATCCAGCGTAAGTAACTTATACAAATTTAGATTGTATTTACAAGGATTGGATAATTTCTTATCTGTGGTTTAACAGGCTAATAATGCAAGTCACCTAAATTTTTATTATAACATCAATAGTACTTGTCTCCAGAATTCTGTTGGATAAACGGTCAAGAATTTTCTATAAAAAGAAGATATATTTTATATTCCTATATTTCTTTTATTAGCCTTCAATTGTTAAATTGCTTGTCTCTCTTTGCATATGTAAAAGTATAGGAACCAAAGTCTATATGCTTAATGATCTTACCTAATAGTGTTGGACAAGTGAACATATAATTTTTTCAGTAGGAATCATATATCCGCTTACTTTAGTTTGGTGTTTAGGAATACCATTGATATTTTTATATAAAATTAGATCTGCAATTATTTCGAATTAAAAAGATAGAGTTTAATTTTTCTTATCATATTATTTTATTTTGCAAGGCTATAAAGATAAATTTTATTATTGGGAAATACTTAAAATGTTTCAAAAATTAATAATAATGATTATTCTAAATTTAGATATTGAGAATATTATTTAAAGATAAATAATAATAGTGATTTGCTTTTTCTACCTAATTGGAACAATTTAATAGAATCCATACAAATAAAAGTCACTTCAAAATTTAGAAGTGTTGCTTTAAGTTGTTATTGTTCTTTCTTTGGTATTGTAAACAATCATCTATGCCTTAGAATATGATATCTATAGTATACTTGTAATAATAGTGATATTATTTTTTATTAATCTTTACTGTTTGGTAAGAATAATATTTTAATATTATCATTCAGCTATAAACCTTATCATTAAATCTTAAAGTGAAAATATAAAGAAGTTTTTACATCTTTTATACAAAATTAAAGTTATTAAATTTGATATTAATAAAAAATAATCATCACTATCACGAATAAGCAATTTATGGAAAATGATTTACAAAAATAAATCTAAGATAAATTTCAGATATATATTTCCTATTTAATAACTGAACTTGCAAACCTAGAAACTATAGAACACCTAGTTAGAAACTCAATTTGAAATGAATACAGTAACCTACAATTTCAATAATTTCAGTTAATTTTAATAGGATTAAGATAAATTATTATCAAGAGCTATTACGATAAAATGAAATCATTGGCATCATTTAGACCTTATTAAATTTAAGAAGTATAAAAATTAAAATTTAATTAAAAATAAATATATTAATATGAAAAGTAATTTACAAATTTCTCTACTAAAATTAAATTTATCATAAATATAAATTTTGTTTTTATTAATCATGATATTTTGTTTTAATTAAAATAATAATTTTTATTTTTTATTAAATATAACAACAATTAAGACATATAAAATCTCAAAAAAATGTTTTTTACAATAAATTTATCTAATTGTAAATATCAAAAATTAATGAAGAAATTTAAAATTATAAAATTTATTTAAAAAAAAATAAAAAATGGCTTAAATACCTAAATTTGATAAATTTTTATTATTTATATTAATCTAGTTTATAACTTATACATGAATTAAATTCTTGCATCTCAGCGTTCGCAAGAATTTAATTCATGGGAGTGATAAATATATATATTTATATAAAAGATAAAAAAATTATCAATTTAAATAAACAATAAAAAGGAAATTAAGAGCAGTTTTTTGATTTTTTTTATCAATTAATTTAGTATTAAGGATATTTAGTTAATAAATTTAAATAATATGAAGAGAATATAAGATCTATTCATTTTAGTGTTTATCTATTTTGTAAAGTAAGCATAGCAATTAAGCATACCAGATGTATGTCCTTTAGTAAGCAATTTTTTTCAAAGTTAATCTAATCAATGTTAATAGTGCTTAAAAAATTGCAGTGAATGCTTTTCAAACAATTACTGCATTTTATGCAGGCCAGGATTTATTTTAGTAATATTATTCTATTTTTAACTTAAAATTGATCAATTATTGACCATAATAGAATAATTAGGGATAGTGTGTAAGTAATTGTGGAGATAATTAACTGAAAAATATTTTAAATAAGCAATGTTAAAACTTTCCTGATATAAATTGCTAGAAATATAATGAACAAAACTAATGCTAATAATGTAAAGATGGATATATTTTAAGTGAAAATAAAATATGCGAAAATACATTTTGTTCAGGTTATTAAGGCAACTACGATATTTCTACCTAAAAATGTTCTTTAGACGGATTTTTACTATCAGATTACAGTAGGGAATAGTAAGATTAATAAACTAATGCTCAATTAACTTAAGATTCTTTCAGCTTTTAGTACTCATCATTAAAAGAAAGCTTGAATGAGCAAATAATAGAAATAATTGTTTTAGAAATATTAGACTACAAATTGGTACTTTTTTAATAACTTTGTATAAATTTTATAATATATTTATTAATATTAATTTTAGGTAATAGGTAGAACTATACAATATATCATATTTTATGAGTACAAATCAATGTCTGCCTTATATTTACTTGATATGAAAATTCCAATTATTTAAATATAAGCTAATCAATAATAAATGAAACTCTATGCTTTGATTTCACACTGCGATAATACTAATTTAAATGCAAAATATATCTTAAATTCACTTATTTCTATTGACATAGCTTCATATTAGTAAAATGTAGTCTTCTAATATAATGATATAGTAGATTAAGGCTTATTTAATTCTTAATATTTAATATTTAGAAGCGGAAGTGTTTTAATTATATTTTCTCTAAGCGATTAATAGATAAAGACATTATAAACAAATATATAAATAAGAAGTTATTCTTTTTTATAAAGTGAAGCAATCATTTTATTTACAGATTATAATAATTAAGTATACTTGACAAATCCTACATTTACAGGTTATAACTTAATTAATTTAAGCTCAAACTAAATATTTTAAATGGTCAAATCAATTCTTACATAAAGCTTCATATCTATCATTCAAAAAGACCAAGCTAATTAAAAACAAAGTCTAATAATTTTTGGGATACAAAAATAAATGGATTCTTAAAATCAGATTTATTATACTTTAGGATAGGTAAGTTTTTTTTTATTAAAAATAATTAATTAAAATTAAAATTTATTAAGTAAATTTAAGTTATCGAATATAGCGGATAAAATATTTAAGTGACAAACCTTCAGAATGTAATATATTTGATTTCTAGTAAAGGTAAATTTTTTTTGGAAAAAAATAAAATATTTTTTAAAATATTTATAAAATTTAATCTTAAAATAAAATAAAATATAGAAATTTAAATTTGGAAAGAGTCAAAACAGGTTACTAGAATTAACATCGAAAATAGCTTGTAGAATTTTATATAAGATGATTATGTGATTGTAAATTTTAATTAAAACATTTAAGTTTATCTTAATATACAAAGCGATTCTTAAATAGAATAACAAACATACAATTATCCTATTATAACTTAAATAAATACTGTAGTTTTTTATTAAAATTCAATATTAGTAAGTGCATATAATACAATTTATGCCATTTAATATTACTAACAAAAAGAAAAACAGTAAATTTTACAATCTTTTAGTCAAAGTAATTGCCAAATAAAGATAAATAAATAATTTAAATAAACTTTAGTGTACAGTGATGATGGGATCAAAGTTAAAATTTTAGTTATTATTTATGATACTGAATATTATATAGTTGGTTATGTTAATAATTAATAAATTGCTTTTAGAGATCAAATTGGATCTAAAATAATTAACAGTTGGATAATACTTTAAAACCTGTTCATATAAGTTGATTAATAATTGTATTAGCTTAATTTAAATACATTTTAAAAGAAATAAATAAAATTTACACATATTATCAACATTTTACATGAAAATGACAATCTTTATGTGTTAGATTAATCAGACCCGTCTAATTGTTAATTATTACAGTTTACTAAATTCACTTCTGACAAAACATAAGTATGTACACTATAATTTCCTAATAATCCTGATTATCAATTTACTTGTTTCGATTAAGTTTTAATCTAAAGTAATTTAATTATATATATCGGTTAATTCTATTTTGTAGTATTTTAATACAATTGCTAAGTCTAATATCAAACAGAAACTGACTTTACAACGATTTAAATAATAGACTCAAATGCTATAGCAATAAGTAGTGTAATAACTTTTTAGATATTGTAAATTGATAGCAATAATATGATAGATACATAATTATAAGGCGTAAATTAATTCGATATATTTAAAAATATTAGAGTTCTTTGTCTCTCATTTTTTTAAACACTTAATGTGGCGTTACAACCTTTAAAAAAAATAAATCTAAATAAATATGTTGATTACAATCCATAAGATTTAAAAGAGTATTATTATGATTATGCAGTTTCTAATTTTATAATAAAAATAAATGGATAAACTTTAAATTATATGGATATGTCTTATCCTTTCTTTTCTTATACATCTATGTCTTTTTCAGATAATATCAGTCAAGTTGAGCCAGTTAGCAATTCTAATTCTCTTTTGCTTATAAGGTTTAAAAATGTAATTATTAATAAAAATTTACATCCATTCCATTTGATATTAATACTTTAAAAATTTATAGGATTTTTATTTTAATATTTTGAATAAAATTCAATCCGTACAAAATATTTTCTTCATAAATATAACTACTATTTTAAATAAAAATAAAATTATTATAAAATATAGGATAAGTATAGTGCTGCTTTATTAGATGGACATGCAAATACTTAATTTTAAATAAATGGTAACATAAATACCTTAATGTATTTTTAGAATTACATTATGTTTCTATAAAAACCTTACAATTAATTATTAGTTTTAAAAGTATCAAATCCAATTATTTCAAACACATTTTTTGTTTACGATAATGATTATATATATTGTAGCGAAACATAGTAAATATTAGGATCACCTAATAGAGATATTATAGAAATCTAATATTATAAAGATGGGTCTAAAAAAGTATTTCAAAGTAATCATTTGTTAAAATTAAAAATATATTTTAATTATCATTTTTTTTTAGATAAAGCAAAAAAATTACAAACTTATTTCACAAATTATATTGAAGATACTTATATATATGCTAAAGTTTAATTAGAATTATATGGAGAGATTGTCATAACAA